ACGCCCAAGACCAGACCCATGCATCCACTGGCACGGAGCCTGCCGTCTTCGAGCTCAAGAACAAGCGTCTTCAGTGCGACGGCCATGTCCTTGCCCGAGCTTTGGCCGAAGACCGCAGCTTCTCCCCAAAGAAAGTATGGTGGTTCAAAGCCGACACGGCAACCCCGATATACGATGTCGTTGCCAACAAAGACGGTGACTCGTACCAGCTCCAGTTTTCAGGTATGCATGTTTCTTTTTGCTGTGGCGGTGCAAAAATATCGTCTCTCCCCCCCCCCCCAAGTTCCGGCTAACAACAAAGTAGGCGCTGGCTTAATGGCCGAAAGTGGAAATGTTTATGCGGACCTCATGGGTGGTGAGTCGTGTTGCATTTCGATACATGTGAAACCAGGTACTGACTCCTTCACAAAGACAACGGCGCCAAAGTGGTCCTCAAGATGCAGTCTTGACATTTTCTTTCTTCCTTTCTGCCCGCTACCAGCGCTTCCCCGTCTTTTTGCAACGTCACATGGCGCCTTGTAGATTGCCTGTGCTTTACCGTGTGCCTGCGCATGTAGTACCTTCTTTGAATGCCATAGTACGGTACAACTGACGTACTTCCCGTTGCGCGTACCACCAAAGAATTCTACGTGCAAAAAAAGAAAAGCAGCAGAATTAATAATGACTGCTTTGTGTTTCTTTTGTGTGTTTCAGTTTGTTGTTCATATACTGTACACGTGCACGTGAACCCTTTCTTCGTGTTGTAGTAGATGGATCGATCGGAAAATCATTACTCCGCCGATGCGATCGGTCTTACAAAAAACAAACGCTACTAAAAAAAGGCACTCGGCCAAATTTTGCATAATATTCATTTTCCGTGGATGACGCAAACAATGTATTGCCAAGCACGTTTCTGTACCAATGTGTTGTCAATACCGTAAATTTCCATGTTGTTGTTGTTGTTTTTTTAAACTTTCTCCTCCGTAATTATAATCCCTGTCCCTGGTGGAGACATGACCAGCTGCACCTTCCTTTTGCATGTGAAATTTTACGGCCGTTAAAAGTATGAAATACAGTCACACATAAGTGTAATGAGTTTAGTATGACGCATGTCGCCATGGCCGTACCTACATATGATTATTTTTGCAAGCCCTAGACAATCAGCAGATAGTAACCATCTCGAATCCAAGCCTAGACTCAGGAGTAATCGGTACCAAATCTTATGGCCCATTTAACCTCCTCTAGCCCCAGCCTTGCTGTATATTCCTTGACATCGTCATCACTATGCCCCCAAGATGCCTTCATCCAATCAGGCGCCTGGTTCTCTTTGACAACAATCCGGACAAACTCCATGCCCGGCGTGCGGTCCATGATTTGCAGTCGCACTTGCGTAATTATGTGCTGCTTGATATATCGAGTCCAAGTCGCATTGGGGTTGTGAATGAATTTTGATACAGCGCTTCGGTCTTCTGCAGTGACTCTGGGATGTCCTGAGACAAGATCAAACGTGTACATGGGAAAGCGCAGGTGAAACTTGATTGCTGGGAGTATGTCTATACCGACCAGTGAGTCTATATTCACCCAAATTCTCAAAGTACCTCCGGGATGGTGGTAGCGTGCCACGCGTTGTCTGATTTCATCGCTCGCTTGGTTTGCCCGGAGCGGAGGAGGGAAAAACGATTTGAAGTATCCATCTAAGGCAAACAGAGGGAAGCGATGTGTCGACAACCAGAGTGGGCGGAGCTCCATTCTGATAAGTGTACAGGTTTGTGTCAGGCCGATGAAGGGGAGAGGTTTGTGAGGAGGTCGCCGGACTTCATAGTCGGGCCGTAGGCCCCTGCGCCGAGATGTCGTGGACTTTGGATATGTGTTTGGGAATGTCCGCGTGCTTATTTCTATGACAACTTCGTATATGCGATTCCGAATTTCTGGGTGTTGTTAGTATTTTTGAGGCTGAATAAATCACGTGCTACTTACCCCCTGGCAGATCCAAGAATCTGAAGATCTGGCTTGTATCCATAGCCTGCGCTTGCTCTGATATTTCAGTCTCTACTGCGGCTTGCCCTGTACAATATGAGATAGGCGTGTTGGCTTTTGGGCGCTTGTTGGGATACTTTTCTATGACTTCTTGTGCAGAGCGTTTCTTGTTTGCTGTTGCAATCGATTTCTTGAACCCTTTGCGGGGCCTTTGACCCACAAATTAGCAGTTGCAATATAATACGACTGATTAGATACTCTGATTCAACTCACATTTCGATGACAAAAAACCAACGGTTGTTGTAGAGAAGTGCGTGGAGGTGGGTCAAAGGAGTGAGGTTGGATGTTGGCGCATGGGTGCGTCGGTTGAGTGCTAGCGTTGGACCCTGACGACAAAAGCGGTGGAGAGATGATATCCCCTACAGGCCTAAGTGGATCGTACCTATTGGCTAAGCAAGTATCATGTTTTAGTTGTGCAGCTCCCATTGGTTGGGCAACACGAAGTCTTGGAAGTTTGAAAGCACCAAAACCACCAAAACTACCACACTGTTCGAAAATACGAGAACACAATAGGAGTACATTTCCCTACTAACGATGGTATTGTTCAGAGCGAAAAACAGCTTACCATACGTTATTTTGGACATGGAGAGTTGTTCGTACGAGCAAAGGCGCTAACTCGGGAAGATAATGCCTAATGAGGCCAGCAAACGCAAGATCATTGGATGAACGGCAGTCAAACACTACTCCAGGAACCAATTCTTGGCCAGGTAATTTGTTCAGATAATATTCATAAACATTGGACGCTGTTGCTATTCACTTCAAGTCACTGTAATATCCCCCGGCATCTTAACCAGCCAGTTCTCCCAAAACCTGAACCCGTCAATTCCCTGCTCTCGACAGAGTGCACCCGCTTCCTCGGCCATTTCTAGCTCTTCTGTCGCGACACCAACACTCCAGCCAAATCTTTCAGCTGTCTCTTGCGCTGTTACGCCCCTACCGAATGTCTCCCAATCCCATGTGACCTCCATGCTGGGAGGTTCTTGGTGAAGAGTCTTGAACCAAGCCAAGAGACTGGCAATAGTTTTCTCGTCAGTGCGATCACGACCTTGCACGACTAGAAGACCACTCTTGAATTGCCTTAGGCGCACTGGCAATTTCAACGTATCCCACATGCGCGCTGCCTTCTCAAAATCTGAGGGGCTAACAAGCTCCACACCGCCCCTTGCACGATTGAAGACGGCCCAAAGATCCACAAGCGTCATGATGCCACCTTCTTTTCGCAGGATACCATGCGTGTCATCGGTGAGCCACTCGGCCAGGTTTCTCGAAAGCTCAGACACATACAGGGACTCAGAACCTGACCCGGACCCAAGCATGTCCTTTGTCGTAACGAGACCCAGTGCAGACGCCGACTGAGATGCTAATGCGTTTGCCTCAGAGCTGCTATTAGTACCCAAGTTGGCCTGTGATGCAAATTGCTCTGCAAGAGCGATAATCTCTTTTGCTGATGTCATCAAAGCCTCAAGGTCCTCAAAGGCGCTGCCTATCATGGCCTCGTTGTTCTGTCTCTGCTCTAGTCCGCGTCGCTCCAAACCCGCAATACCAACAACTCGGGGTCGTTCAGATTCTACAGAAGAAGCGTCAGATTGTACAGTGTAGCCGTCGTCAGCTATAATAGAGGCTAGCCGTGGCTTCGGAATTGGCGGGGCACTTTGAAGGAGCCATTTGCGCTGTACTAGTGCATTCTTCAGGCGCTCATAAAATATAGGCCCCCCACCAGCACGGAAAGACAGCTTGATGCATTCAATGGTATCGGATTGTAATGGTGACGAGAGTGTTGGGCCTGGAGAATGGGACCTGGTGGGCTCCTGAAGCATGTCAAAGCGCTTGTCTACGGCCGTTGTGAGGGATGCACCGCAAATCTCGCAATTGAGGAGAGAAGGGTGGTTCTGGTAGGTGCAACGAGGACATGCCGATGGCGATGTTGTGGAAGCCGAAGGAGGAGGAGGAGTTCCATTCTTCACATCTTTCGGAGGTGGGCCTGGGGCTGGTCGATTCGACATGGCCGCTATGGCTGCTTTGACGACATGTACAGTCGGCGGCTTTATTCCGCAAGCCAGACATGGCGGTATGGGTGTGCGAGATGCGAGAGCGGGGTCGAAGTTGGAAGGCACGGGGTTGGAGAAGGAACATATCGGGCACACCCATGTTGCGCTCGCTGGAGGTGGAGGCGCGGGGCTGCTGTGCCGCGGCGGAGTAGAAGAGGACGAGGCGGTTGGCGTGGGAGCCAAAGGAGCACCTCGCGACAGCTGCTTCAAGGGCTTCGGGTAGAGAGTTACCTTGGGTGATGACTTAAGAAAGCCAGCCTGTATTGTTGTTAGTTATGGTGCCTATGGATCAAGCCATATCCAGCATACATAGAACTCTGGTTTCTCGACATCTTTCAGGAAGATGGCGACGGAGTTCTTGCGCGGCTCATTGTGGTCGACATAGCAGACGCGGTGTGAGGTCAGATACGACTGCCCGTTTTGATACTCGGGTATTTTAAACTTCCTGTTCACATGTTAGCAGCGGATGAGTGCCATCTGCGGACACGCGTACCCCTCGTAAAGCCCTACGGCATCTTGGACAAAAAGCAGCGTCTCCTCCGGCAGGAGCGACGGGCGCAGTGCGGTGGTGAGGTCGAGCTGGTGCAGGAACATTCAGACCATTTGTAAGTGAGCGTATGCAAAATACGGTATCGGGCGTCGTTTGACCTAATGCCCATTTCCCCAGTCCGGCACGTCGTCATATCCCCGACGCTAAGCTCATCACAGTTAGCACCATCTCAGCGGCCGCCAAGCAACAACACCGTGCAAATCACTGTCGTCGGGTCGTCGCCTCGCCTCACCCTCATCCACCCACGCCCACTTCATTTCCACACCCACATACTACATCTCTGCCGCCGTGCACCACATTGATCCATCTTCTCTAACTCCACTGTGCACATACTCACTCTGCAGCCTTCTTTTTTGTCGCCCCTGTTTCCCTTGCTCCCCTGTTCCATGTCCCTGCCCTCTGCCACTGTTGCGTGGGCGCGACCGATGCAGTCACCCGCCTACAACACCGTCACCCCTCGAACCACACTCCAGCCTGCCGCTCCACCCGTGTCTGTTAGTCTTCACACTCCTCTGGCGACTTGTGCCTCCGCTCACACACGCCTACAGTCTGCCATGGCTCCTGAGCAGCCCAAGAAGAAAGTCGAGTGGCCGCCTGCCGTACGCGAGTACGTCCGACGTGCTTTCGACCCCGCCAACGCGATTCCGGGCATCTCGCAAGCAGATATGCAGGCGAGACTCAAGGAGACCATCGGCTACTTCGCTGAGCGCAACTCACATGACAACGTACATTGGCCTACCTTTCCCCTGCCTCAGGAGCTTCTCCTCGAGGAACGGAGGGCAGCCGCGCTCAACGCATCTGCCAATGGCTTCACGAACGGCATGCAACCTACATACGTAAATGGCATTGTCGACCACACTAACCAGAACACACTCCTTTCCAAAAAGCGCAATGCTCACGACGCTGAAGAAATACCAGCCGAACAAGCGCAAGCCAGCGTCCCACCGTGGCGCAAAACTAACCTAGCATCTCGAATGACCTATGCCGATGGACACAGCGAAAAGCGCCAAAAGAAGAACGCATTTACGGACGCCGCAAGTAAGTTAGACCAGACCGAGCTTGACAAGCGACGACAGCGCTTTCAGCTCGGCAACAACGGTCCGAAATCGACATCACCCTGGGGCTCATCGCGCAAAGACGAAGATGAGATGCCTACCGGACCTGTAGTTGGAACCAACGAGAACCTTGAGAAAAGCTATTTCCGTTTGACTGCACCACCGAAAGCTGAAACCGTGCGCCCCCTGCATGTGCTCAAGAAGACGTTGGCCATGCTTGTGGAGAAATGGAAAGCAGAAAAGAACTACAACTACATTTGTAACCAGTTCAAGTCACTGCGCCAGGATCTGACTGTTCAACATATCAAGAATGCCTTTACAGTCAAGGTGTACGAGATTCATGCGCGGATCTCATTAGAAAAGGGGGATTTGGGTGAGTATAATCAGTGCCAGACGCAGCTCAAGGCACTGTATGCGCAGAATCTGGGGGGCAACCCAGCTGAGTTCAAGGCGTACCGCATTCTTTATTTTGTGTATACGTGCAATAAGACCGACATGAACGACATGTTGGCAGAATTAACCCTCGCAGACAAAACACACCCATGGATCAAGCATGCACTTGACGTCCGATCATCACTTGCCCTTGGCAACTACCACAAGTTCTTCCGACTTTACCTCGAAGCCCAGAACATGGGCGCTTACCTCATGGACATGTTTGTCGAGCGTGAGCGCCTCAATGCTCTAGCTAACATTTCTCGCGGGTACGTTTGGTGGTTGTACTTTAGGTTTGGGGTGATTGTTTACTGACAGGGTACGCAGATACGTAAATGTTTCTCTTCGTTTCCTGACTGATGAGCTTGGTTTCGACAATGATGCATCTTGCCGTGAATTTCTCGAAACGCACGGTGCACAAAACACTATTGAAGACAAGGGCGATCGCCAGTATCGGGTCAGGATCCGCGAAGTCGCATCGCAAATCGAGAGTCTCCGTGCGGCGGCATTCAGCAAAGTAGACATCAAAGGACAAATATGAATCGACTGGAGCGCAAGCGGTGCTGGCCGTCGTCAGCTGCACCCTTTAGATTACGAATTCCCCCCGATTGCTCTATATCCGTTACTCCTACTACTAATTTGTATACTTATGGTTGTTTGCTCATGCCTGGCGCCATGTGTGTCGTGGGGATTGCAGTGGCGGTAGCAAAGGCGCCACCTGAAGCGGCGAGTTTTGGTGTTATTTGGGTGGATGGTGACTATCTATGTGTAGTCGGGACGCGGGAGACCCGTTCCATGCGCTAGATGCAAGGAAGTTTCTAGATGCTTTCTTTCTGTTACGGCCAAAGTTTCAGACAGGCTCCTGACTAGCCATGTTTTCTTAGTTGGGAAACGGGATACGTCATTAGCGCCAATGGAAAACGTGGAATCGGGAATAAGATTGCGGGAAGAGAGGGGAAGAGGGGACGAGGGAGCGAGGGTGTTGCTGACTGCAGGACTGCTCGAAGCGTTTGTCTCAGCGGTATCCGGGTCGATGCGGCAGGTTGCAGTGGGTGGAGGCCGACGGGATGATGGAGGGCAGCTTCAGACTGTACCGGGTGATCGACAGCCACTGCATGGGGATTGCAGGCCCAGGCACAGGCACAGGCAGCGTGTGGAATTGGCAGGGTTGTGAGCATTTGAGTTTGCTGTGGCTTGGAGAGGTTTTCTGTGGGACGAGAAGTTGCAGGCGCTGGGGCTTGGCCAATGAGGAGGCTCGAAGCATGTTTTGGCCTTTGATTCGGCCAGGCACGGGTGTCGAGTGGTTGACGCTAGCTGCAGGCTCTTCTTGCAAAAAAAGGGCAAAGACATTGTGCTTGGTAGACAGCAGACAGTAATGCATTGGTTGATGACGAGCGTGTTTGGTATGCGGGCACGAGGGTGTGGCGATGCTATAGGGCGTTATGGGGACGTTGATCAAAAGTACCGAATGGGGGGGGGTGTGGGTTCGCATGGGCACAATGACATGTTCATGCAACGCCGCAAGAAGAAGCAAGGGAGGCCTACCAACGCCAGCGCGCCGGGGCTATGATTGGGCGTTTTGTGGACCTGCAGCCCGGCAGCCCGACGTTTGGCAGACAGAGCATGGCGTAGGCCCTGGAATTCCCTGGGGCCGCAGCCAGCCATAGTCGGCCACGGCCAGCCATAGCCTGCCATAGTCTGCCCATAGTCCACCCATACACAGCCATGCTACACAGCCATGCCAGGTCACATGGCGTGCTGGCCGACTGCCGCCCTGGCTCCGTGTCGTCAGTGGCCACCAGCAGCGCAAATATACTACACACCTACTACGTATCTAGTATGTACGTGCGTACAGACAGGGCCCCGTCCACCCATCCAATCCAATCCACATGGACGAGCAGGAAAAAACTAAAAGAAGGCAACCCTCGAGGCCCAGAGAGCCGCCTGCCAAGTCTCAGGTGGTGCAGGGCTGGGATCCCTTCGCCGTGAAAGCACCCACTCATTCCCTAAACTTTTGGCTACCCGCGCATCCTCTTGTCTGTACGTACGTACTTGTACCTGACGACAATCACCGTGCACCTGCCCCAGACGTTTTCCCTTTACCCTTTGTCTTTTGCTCGTCGTCACAGCCTTGGACTGCACGACTCGCACTGTCCCTTCACCCGCCGCCCACTCGCCCCCGCACACGCCGCATCCCCGGTCGACAGTCATACACTCGTAGCCAGTCGGAGCCCCAAAGTTCCTGACACCTCCTGACTGCTCCTCACGGCACAACGCTTCCGCGTCTTCTGCGCATCCTCTCCTCCTCATCCGCACCCCAAGATGAAGGTGAGTTGCTCTGTCTTTTTTGCTTTTGCCGCCACCACAGGTCCCCGCGCCTGCACCACCTGCACCGGCGTCTGCACCGGCGCTGGGGGCATTGGCCGAGTCAAGGCGCGCATACATGCTAACGGTATTCTCTAGTTCCGCAGGAGTGTAAAGAGCGAAAAGGACACCCGCCCGCACCACATCTCGATTCCACCAAAGGATGCCATAGCCATTGTGCCGCCCAAGAAGGTACGTACTACCACCAAGCACATTGCACGCACGCCGCCGCCGCCAGAGGTGACTGCCCATTGCCTCGACACTCACTCGCTGTTGCCTGTGCGGGTGCCATGATCGAGGCCAACGCGGCCCTCTTGGGCTGCAGTCGTTGCGCGCAGGACCATTATCCACCGCCAGCCCTGCGCCCAAGACGCTCAAGCCGCTCGACGTTCGCCATTGCTCCAGGCGCTTTGTCCTGGTACCCGCTTCCCGATAGGGCAGATGAGCGCGAAGCTAACGGCGATCTCATTTCAGGTCATAAAAGCCCTCTACGATTACACGCCCACAGATACCAGCCCAAACTCTGTCTACCTTGCCTTTTCCCAGGGCGACTTTCTGCACGTTGTCGGGCGTGAGGACGACAGCGACTGGTACGAAGCCTGCAACCCGCTGCACGGCACCCGCGGCCTCGTTCCCGTCTCATACTTTGAGGGCGTAGGCAAGACAGTGCGCGACAGTGCTGGCGCCCCCCCAGTACCTCGCGCCACAACACAACAACCGCACGATTCCGGCTACCAAGAGCGCATCACAAGCCCGCAACCCTCAACCCAGGACATTATGACGCAACAGATGCGCATGTCGCGCTCGGGAAAGACTGGCGCCATGGTCTATGGCGTCGTTATCTACGACTTCCACGCAGAGCGGCCCGATGAGCTCGAGGCCAAAGAAGGCGAGGCCATCATTGTCATCGCCCAGTCCAACCCCGAGTGGTTTGTCGCAAAGCCCATTACCCGACTCGGCGGCCCCGGCCTGATACCCGTCTCCTTTATCGAGATCCGCGACATGACTACTGGACAAGTAGTCACCGACACGCAAGCTGCCGTGACTGCTGCTGGCGTGCCCAAGGTTGAGGAGTGGAAGAAGATGGCTGCAGACTACAAGAACGGTAGCATTCCTCTCGGCAAGCTGGAAACAAACTCGGGCCAGTCGCTGCAACAAGGCATGGAGCGTTTGAGCGTGCGCAGCCAAAATGGCGGCCACCAAAAGACCGGTTCGGTAGGTGGTGTGCACTCACCTTTCGTACGCGATACTGACCCTGTGCAGATCTCCCACTCGCGCAACGGTTCCATGGCGCAGGCTCGAAATCCGCACCGCACGTCCGACAACTTGCTCGCACCTATCAAGGCATGTGTGCCACGTTACTGCTTTGCTGACGATATCTTCTGGTTCATCATTGAGTGCCAGATGGAGGACGGCCGTCACTGGGAGTTGCAGCGTCTATACCAGGATTTCTACGATCTTCAGATACAACTTATTGCCTCCTACCCCGTCGAGGCTGGTACGAGTGGCTCGGGAGAACGAACACTGCCATTTATGCCAGGCCCGGTAACCTACGTCACCGATAATATTTCCAACGGGCGCCGTGCCAACCTCGACGAGTACATCAAGAACCTGCTCAAACTGGGCCCGCACATTACCCAAGGACACCTTGTCAAGGGTTTCTTTGCCCCACGACAAGGCGACTACGAAATCGACCCCGATGTTGTGGCTGCTGAAGAATACCGTTTGTCCCAACAGTCACATCACTCGTCAACCCCTTCACATGGAGGAGCCAGCAGGCAATCGTCTGCCGACCAACTTCAAGCTACGACCCCAGTGACTCCTTTCTCGACTGGCTCAACCTATGCCTCGCACCAACGCGGTCCATCGACAGCCTCGCAAGCATACTCGACGAGCCTCAACCCACCGCCTATGAACCACTCACACTCATCTGTCTCGACCGCCACCGGCACCGGTACGTCGGCGCTCAAGATCAAAGTATGGTTCGAGGAAGACAACTGTGTCGTCATTCGCATGCCCATATCGCTCAAGTTTGTTGATCTCTACAACAAGCTTGTTGAGAGGAGGAAGCTGGAGCGGCCTGGCGAGGAAGAGGAGGAGCTGATTGTCGAGTACAAGGACGAGCAAGAAAATTACTTTTACCCGATTGAGAACGACGAGGACCTGCAGATCGCAGTGGAACGTAATCCCAAGCTAACACTTAGTGTTACAACGAGGCGGTAATGGTGGAGTAAATGGTAAGACTTGGCGTTTCTTCTTCTTCTTCTTCTTCTAATTCCCCTAGTTTTTATTTCCTTTCTTGTATGGTAGCCCGTGCCATTGTGCAGTGGCTACCTTGGTCCGGCTACCTTGATCCCTGTCTTTTGCTTTGTTTTTTTCTCCTTTGTTCTTACTGCTTTCGGAATTGCATAAGGGTCCATAGCTCTCGGTTGCGAACGAACAGGTGTTTGTGGAGTCTGTGGGGCATTAAGTGCATGACGGCAAGCGGGTTCCTTTCTTTTCGGCCAGTCTTTTTGGTTTGGTCTGCAACTATTTCATCGACACAGAGGAGGTGTTGAGGCTAGATTATATGAGGGTGGGCTTTGGATTGAGCAACATGTGGTGGATGAGCAATGATGGGGAGGCGATGAATGATAAAAATGGGTTATCTATCCATTAGGTGTATTTGAAAAATTTCACTCCGCTCTAGTACTACATGTGTGGTGATGATGTCTTGTCTGAGAAGTGGGGAGCGATGCACGTGGTCGAGTGCTGTAGTCCAAAGATGGGTGTGGGGTGCCGTTCACATGCCTCAGCCGATACTAGCCATGAGTTCCGAGCTTGCGGTTTGATAGAGAATCGAATTGCTGCCGGTTGCGACATGGCTGGCCAATGGCTGTGCAAAGAGGCCGACTCGGGAGGCTCTGCTCCGACGTCGGTGTTTAGAGTCCGGGGCGGATTCAGTGTTAGGCACCGCTAGACCCAGACATGTTCGTCAGTGGCTGCTCTTTCAAATCCCGCAACCTATTCACACCTCTCTCTCTCTCCTGCAGCTCTCACAGCCTGTGAGATTCTGCCTGCTCCCCCTGCGCCATACAGCCGCCTGTTACGAGGCCTCACGAGCGAAGACCCACAACCGGATCGTCTACCAGGGCCTTCACATGCAGCACAGAAAGAGAGAGTTTGCCAACAACTGGGGGAAGCTGCAATGGGGGAGGAACAAGCCAGCGGTGTGAAGACACCTGTCGCTACGGAGACTATATCCCAAGCCACCATACCAAAAGTCGCAAGCCCTTCGATTGCGATTCCTAGACCAAAACTCGCAGTGCCGAGTATGCGCACGCCGACGACGACGAAGACGCCCACAGACACGCCGCGCGAATGGAACACGGCCAAACTGGGTATGCGCGTGGGCGCAGACGCCCTCTCAGCTGGCGCAGCAGGCATCTTGGTCGCTCCCATCATCACCATGATAGATAAAGGCATCATCGAGAACGCCAGCGGCAGAAACACACTGGGCGACAGCCTCAAACAAAGCCTCACGCAACTCGTCTCAAAACCGCACCGCTTCCTCTCCAGCAAACCTTTCGCCCTAATCTTCAGCCTCTACTTCGGCACCTACCTGACCGCCAACACAATCGACACCGCATCCGCAACGCTCAAGCCCACTCAGCCCCTGCAGCAGCAAACAAGCGGCACCAGCAAATTCGTCGCTACCAGCTCCGCCAACCTAGCACTTTGTCTATATAAAGACAACCAATTCACCCGCCTCTTCGCAGCCCCAGGATCCTCCCCCCGCCCCGTACCCCTCCCCACCTTCGCCTTGTTCACCATCCGCGACTGCCTCACCATCTTCGCCAGTTTCAACCTCCCCCCGCTCCTCGCGCCCGCACTCGAAGAGCGTATGAGCGCCCAGCTAAATAGCTACGTGGGTGCGCTTAGCATAGCCCAGTTTGTTACCCCCGCTGCCGTGCAGCTGGTTAGCACGCCCTTGCACTTGCTTGGCCTGGACTTGTACAATAGGCCTGGTGTGCATGTTGGAGGCCGCGATGGCAGGGCTGCACGCGTCTTGAGGGATTGGGGGAAGAGTGCTGCGGCGAGGATTTGTAGGATTGTCCCGGCGTTTGGGGTGGGTGGGGTGGTGAATACGAAGGTTAGGAGGGGGTTGATGGGGAGGTTGGAAGAGGCGTGATATGTGTTATCAATGTTTTATGTGGAGTTTTTTTTGGGGGGGGTGTTTGGGGTGGGATGGGCATATATAGATGTGGGAAACTCTCTTCTCTACGGCCGAACTGGGGGGGGGCTTGGATTTTCGTATCGCATTGCGTGGTGTTTTTTGGGACTTTTTTTTCAGTTGTTGTCTTGGATCTAGATTTAAGCACGTTTGTAGCAACCAATGTAGTCGCTATACGATTATAGTCTCTACTCGTCCCAGTCTTTTATCAAATCCTTCGAGATGGAAATTGTAATCGGTGGATTTGGGGGGGGGGTGTGCCAAGGTACAATATTTTACTTGATCGCTTCGCAGATACTTACCACACCATTACTTTACCTTAGTCTCCAAAGATCCCCCGCAATAGCCTCAGAAATTGACAATATACCAATGTTGCCACAAATCATCCGCACCTGGGTCACTATACTCCTCGCCGTGTCGATGTGTGGGTACACAGTGAATTCCCTTTACTCTTACAAACAATGGCGAGGCGAGCGAGTGACTGTGTAATTGTGGACCGATGATGAGTTGTTGAGTTGAGAAAAAGGCCAATCAAAGTTTGCTGGGTTGGATCTGCTTGTGATATCAAGGATAGTTGGTATGAGTGTGGTAAGTGCGTACGGAGTGAAAGGTTCAAGGAATGTGGTTTAGATACTATAGAGTGATGTTGAAGTAGAAGGGGGGTGTGGGCGTGGTACATCGTAGAGCGGGTAGTTTGTTTTGGTAGGAGGAAAGAGTAGGAAAAGGGGGTGGGCATGCGGATAAACTGGTATAATCGTATGATAATATCAGTAGATATTCAACCCACCTTTACCTTTTCTTTGGCGGCGCATCTACTTGGAATTTATAAAAGTGATACTTGCCGAATGAATAGAAATTGGTGTCTTAAGTGAGTTGAATTTGGTACTGCATTACGTATTCGCATACCATTACATCCTCATTTGAGGCTTGATGTCTCGATTCCGAACTCTACCCAACATATTGCACCAAAAGCAGTAACCAAGCACATGCAAGTTCCCCCTTGCATATACATATGTAGTACATCTTCCACAACCCATGTGACCATCCTCCAGCACACACACATAACCGCAATCCTCCAATACCAACGCCACTTAATCCAAGGATACCCACATCCACACCCACACCCACCCACATGCATGCATGCACGCTCCCTCAAAAACAAGCATTAAAAAAACGGACACAGCAACCACTCCATACCCACCGATCCGGCGGGTAGAAAAAGGAACAAAAGGATAATTAAAAAAACGGGTATTGACATCATCGTCGATCTGCCGTGGGCTGCCTTGTGGCTGTTTCCAGACCGTGGGCGGGGGGAGGAGGACCTGCATTTGGGTCGTCATGCCGGGGGCATATGCTTTTTTAATCTCGCTTACGCCGCAACTTCGTTGATGCAACGCCTTCGGGCGGGGGGCGCACGGTGGTGGTGGTGTGTGTATGTGGGAACTTCTCGCGTGGCTTTATTTTACTTGGCGAGGTGGAGTTAGGGAGGAGTGGAGAAGGTTGGATTTAGTTTGTTTTTTTGGTTGCCTTATTATCCGGTGTTTGTGAGTTGCATTGGGCGGATGGAATTGAGGAAATGCGAATGGATGGAGAGGGAGGGAGGGAGGGAGGGAGCGGTGAAGTGTGTAGGAAGATGGAAAGGGCAACAGCGAGTAGAGACATCAGTAACGTTGGTTCTTTCCGTTTAGGGATTGATCATAAAAAAGGGCAAGACATTACATTAGCTTAGCGTAGCAGTTTACATTAACGATGAACTACGCCTTCTCATTCCCGATAATTGCGCTGCCGCCTCCTCTCGCCTCGGCCAGCAATTGCGTGCCGACGACCTCACCTGTAGTCTTGCTCTTGAACACACCAGATACAGAGAACAAGCCCATGAACGGCTCGTAGACGTATTCCTCCTCCCACACCTCCTGGCCCTTGTAAGTAACGGATTCGTTGAAGCCGTTGAACTTCATGCTGGTCAGGTAGTTGCCGACGACGGTGCTACCAGAGATAGCACCAGAGTTATCCATGGTCTGCTCGACGATGTCGCCATTTTGAGCGAGAACACGGCGCTTGTGCGTGTTTCCCTCAAAGTTGTTGACAGAGTAGAGGATATTGTTGCGGAGATCCCACTGGTGAAAGTCGAGGTCGCGCTTGGCTTTTGCTTGGGCAGTCGTCTGGTTGGTGCCGCTATTTCCACCGCCGATGATGCCGTCGGCGATTCCGCCTACGGCATCGCCTACGTCGCCGACGATTTCACCAAGACCGTTGCCGAGCTCCGCGATGACGGGGTTGAGATCGATGCTGTCGAGGACGTCGCTGACCATTGATACGAGGTTGCCGAGGCGGGCTTCAAGATAGACCTTTGCAGTCACGTTTTGGATGAGGAGCGAGACCTTGTCGATGGAGAGGTCGACGCCTGCGTTGAATTGAAGCAGCTGCAGTACTTGGGCGTCGAGATTGATCTTCGCGGTGAGGTTGTCGACGCCGACGAAGATCTCGCCTACATGCACGGAGGCATTGAGAAGAACATCCGGAATGGGGTTCAGAGCGGAGATGTTGGACGAAGATGTGTTTTCCGTCTCGTACAGCACGGCAGTTGGGTCGCCGTCATCTCGCACGTCGAGCTTGTATCCCGTGTAGCCGTCCGCAGCGGATTGAGCGACTGCAAGCCATGGCAGAGAAAGAAGCGTTAAGGAAGGAATAAGAGACAACCTCATCTTGACTTTGGTGTGGGTATAAAAGAGAGACTTGAACTGGCCGCAAAGTCGAACGTCTACTACCCAAGTAAGAGAGCGTGGGAGAGATGGAAAGAAAAAGCGAACGACTTTTTGCTCAGATTCAACAAGAGAGAAACGGGGGGCGAGACCAATGGGTTAACAACATCCCTTCCACAGAATACTCGTGATGAGTTACATGCAGTTAATCCATCCCGGGACCCAGCATCCATAGCATGATCGCATTACCTGCTCCACACCGTTTTCCCCACCCGCTTTACCTAGCCCAGTCTACTCCTAGTTACAAGGCAGGTGCAGAAGCAAAAAAAAATAAGATTAAGGAGAATCCCAGCCAGACCGCCTCCAATTCGACACTCAAAAATCAGGATTTTGAGCGCACATGGGAATCCAAGACCTTCTGGCATGCATGCATGCCTTGTTGCTAGTAACTGCGGGGTGCACGCGCGTTCCAGATGGTGCACACGGTTGTTAGTTGGTTGCGTCCTTGATCGTAAACCCTGCACATCGGCTGCATAGGGGGTTTTATCCGAGATTACTATAACGGGAAACCCTGGTCGTTACAACAACTGCCAACCCATGCATGAGCGGTAACCGCCTTTTTTTCTTGATTTTCCTCGACTAAACTGGGAAGGGAGGGGCGTAGGCGAAGGGAAAGGGAAGCGGGGGGCATTAACCTTCACAAGCGGCTTTGTGCTAGGGTGGTTGCATGAGACCAAAAAAAGAAGAAGAAAACGGTTACTTGTATAGGACGCTATTTCTCTCTTTTTCCGCCTTCTTCGTGGCTCTGCTTGTTCGCTTGCTTGCTTCACCTTTCTTCCTCAAGATGTCGTCTTCGTCATTCTCTTTCCGTCTACTGCTCATCAGCATTCTTCTTACTTTTGCTACGTTCGTTACAGCGCAGACGTCGTCGGGGGTGCCTTCGACTCCTCCGCCTACAAGCAGTAATCGTCCCTCTGTCAATGGCACCACGACTAGACCCCCCGAGGTTGCGCCTACGGGATCTGACCCCCCAGATGTGCTGCTCCGCGTTCCAGAGTTGCATGTAGGCCGCATTGAATTGACTGTCGAGAAACTGCAAGCCGACCTTAACCTCAATGCCAAAGTTGCGGGGCTCGTTCAGATCAACGCTGGTGTGCAAGTCGGTATTGAAAAGGTCAACATTACCATTGCCGATGTCGATGTTAATCTCGAGCTCGTCGTGCGTCTGGGCAATCTAGTCCAGATTGTCGAGCGTGTGTTTGACTCTTTGGACCTAAACCCTCTCTTGATCGGCTTGATTGGAAACGTTACGGATCTTGTTGGCGAAGTCATTGGAGCCGTTGATGGTTTGGTAAGTTTTGATTGAATATTCACCTTTTTTTTTTTAATAAAAAAAAGAAGCATTCAAACAAGATGGAAAATTAACGGAGATTCTAGCTCGGATCCATTACACAAAACGGAAAAACCCTCAGCTTCCTCGTCGATAATCTGGGTAACATTGTCCAAGATGTCGTCGGAGCAGGTACAGATGCTATTTCCCAAATTGTCGGAAACTACAAGGTACAATCTTCCTTCTTTCCCCCCTTTCATTTCTATCAAATAACTCACATAAAAAAAATACAGCTCAACATGACCGAAGTCGAAGGCAGCATCAAGCAAGTAGGCAAAGGTCTCACCCAAAAAACCTACTCCTACGAGCCCCTTGGTGCCCTCGTCGACATCATTACCAATACTGCCGGTCAAGTCGTGCAAGCGGTAGTCCAAAAGAAGAATGGTGGCGGCGGTGGAGGCGGTAGCAGTTCGTCCACCACTGCTTCCGCCACCGGAACCCCAATGCCTGTTACGCTGCCGATTAGCTCGGCGACGGGTACTGCGTAAAAGAAGAAAAACAAAAAGAAAACGAAAATTAGCGTAGTAGATGAATATTTGTGAATAATGTAATACGCTGCTTTTTCTTCTTCTTCTTGAAACTGGGATTTTCAAGTGTGAATGGGATTTGAATGGTTGTGAATGTGATTGGGACTAAGATTTCCTTCTTGGCGTAGATGTAGTATGCCACCAAGATACCTTTTTGTCATATTATATCGAAAAACGGTTAGTAAGTTTGTGAAAAAGCAGTTTTTTTTCTTTCAAAAAGAAAAGAATAGAGAAGAAAGAGAATCTCCACTTAGGTCGAGAGAACCCTTGCTTCACGGAATGTAAAGACCATAAAGGCTTTAATTAACCTTCATATCTCTCCTACCTCACCTCTCACGCTTAGGAATAAACTATCCCGGCAATGAGTTGGTGAAATATAAACAAGACATTACACAAGTATCCAAAAAAAAGCTTTTTACCAGAACCCTTCCGGCCATGCTGTACTTCTAAAATACCCACCATTGCGCCATGAAATCAAACCCCCCCACACCAACCGTTAAACTCCGAAAAAAAAAGTCAGACCACCAGCATTTAAACCTTGCTTGATTACGCTGGTTTCCGCCATCTGACAACCCTCTCAATCACCGTGTCGATGCACTATCCTTCCTCTTCATTCCCTTGCCCTTCCTCTTAAATCTCACCTTCTTCCCAATCTTCCCCCAAGTCAAGCCCTGCCCAAGCTTCTCCATTTTACTCACCAATTCGGAGATGTTGTTTTTCCCTTCTACAATAACAGGGACGACGGTCGTACAAAAGCTTTTCTTCACGTCTGCGCCAATCATAGTTACGGATCTGAATTTCAACCTAGGAAGACCGCTGTTTTTCGATGATGAGCGATCGTGACACGCGTATTTTGGCGTGTGCAAAGAGAGCTGTGACATGTTTTCTTTAAGTGGGTCTTTTATGGTCGGAATTGAATCGTGGGAGACCGGGGGTTGCTGTGGCGCTGGCGCTGGTGCTGGCTGAGTTGGTGGCTTTTCCACGCTGTTGAGGGGTGGTGGCGATGGAGAGTGTTCGGAAGAAAGTCCGCTGGGAAAATCGTATCGTCCAAGAATATTCTCGTGCGTACGTATGTCCCACGAAACAGCTCTTGTCCGATCACGCGTGCTAACCATGTCTGACTTTCTCCGTCGCGGTACAGTGTTTCTTCTCTCCTCCGGAACTCTTCTTATGCTGAGCCTTCTCCTGAATTTGTCAAGGCTGTTCCCACGCATGACGGTGACTTTTTCTTTTTTCTCATTGCGTGTCTGCTCCTCTTCGGCACGATCTGCTTGCTCCTTGCGGGTGAGAAAGTCTTCGATCCATTCAGTCGGTCCTTCGGCCGTTTGACAAGGCTCTACCCATTCGCTTGATCTGGCCCAGTTTTGTATGCTCTTACAACTTCCTAGGGTCGGAATAGATTGGAGAGAGCGGTTGAGTTTGGCGTGCGCTTGGTACACACTGGTCCTGAAAGGAATGTTGGAAATTGATTCTGGGGTTCCAGTGGGCGTATGGATCCCCAGATTGTTCGGTTTGCATATGGCCGAACTGTAGAATCGTGCAGCCTCTTGCAGTTTCCTGTCACAATCACTAACAGATTGCATGTTCTGAAGCTGTGCTGATGGCCGTATGTAGATGGCTCCAGGCTCTTGGTGTGATATTTCCGACACGACTGAGGACATGGAGGACGCTCGTGAGCGTCTTCCTTGTGTTGGGACACTCAGGAAGCCGGTAATCGCTACCTTTTCTTCGGCGATGTCGTCAATCTCAAAGACACTGAATGTCTCAACGCTACATTTTTTTGCTATCTGCGCAGGCGCATAGGCCGGGTGTTTGTGCTCAACGACAGTCGTGAAGTGCATGGATGGTGGTCGTGGTAAACGCTTGCTTCGAGACATGCCGAGACCACAGGCTCGATGAGTACCATTTCTCGTATTGAGAGGCTGAAGTGGCGGTATTGTTGGGTATGTCGGGACCTGATACCTTAGCGCGTGATCGAACGACTCATGAGATGCATTGGCTCCCGACGTGTAATTGTCGGTAAAGAGATCCGCTGTACTTTGTGGCTTTCCTGGACACCTCAGCGCTTTCTCCATCGTTGTTGGAGCAAGTATGGCGCGTCGTGTTGTCGCCTCCACGTCGCCAATCCTGTGTCGCAAAACGCGTCAGCTCGGCCCAACCATGCGTTTTCCTGACATACTCTGCTTCTTGGCATCTCGACGTCTTGAAAGTGTATGGATAAACATCCTTGCTCATGCCATGCACAAGGGCGACGTATGGGCCAGTTCCAGGCCTTTCGGTCTCCATCTTAACAATTCCCTGCTAAACGACCGTTGGAAGCTCATTCTTGACGATCATGGTCCTTGTTGAAAAGTCGGGGAAGGGGGACTGTGTGCCGTTCCCAGGGTGGGAGAAGGCGATGCAAACGATATGTGGGTGCCTGTGGTGACGAGAAACCCTTGCTTGCAGGCGCAAGGTCAACTTGCTTCGGTTTATAGGGGACAACAGAGCAGATCAAAGTCTAAAGTAGCATGCCGGCGCGTCGGGAGCTTGACTTGGTCCGTGATGACCGAGAAGCGGGGTTCGAGTTAGCTGTGGATGCAGTCCATGCGTTGTATTGCTTCTTCGCTCATCATCTAGACTTTTGCGCTCGCGACAAAAACCTGTTACCCTTTCTTCGCATCGCGTTCGTCTCACATTCCTAGAACCCCATAGGTCAGTTGTATAACAACGAACCTTGCCATCGGCTGCCCTGCGAGGAAAGCAAAACTCTACAGTAGAGGCAGATCTAACTCGATCGATATACAATATGTGCAGACTAGGCCTGGCCCTAACAGTATCCGCCAGCACAGTCATCCTCTACCGCCTCTGGAAAATGACGTGTTTGCTGATGTGATAGATGACATGCCAGTCGACTGATTGCGTTGAGAATAAAGTCTACCATGGTATGTGTGCGGGAGCCGAGTATCAGCACGGTGTGCCGCAATACGTGGGCGATTAGTACGTAGAAGGGTTATCTCGGGGAGGCTGGGAAATACTTGCATGGACGGTGACATGTGGCTGAAAAAACTACGTCATCGAGATGCAAGTGCTAACTGCATGATGGCTGGAGAGGGGTGGCCAAGCCCTCAGCTTTCCACCCCCCCCCTCCTTCTCCCCCTCTTTGTCAAACTAGTTTTTTCTCTCAATGCATCATCTCACAAAAACGGTAGCCAAGATTTAAAGCAAACATGTTTTCATTGAGGACTTTTCATGGGACAGGCTACTAGGCGCACTTCCCTTACATCCGGTCTCTAATCTATGTCTCTCCCAAAGAGCAGTAACACCGTGACGATGCAATTAGAGTAGTCTTGCAGCAATGTAGGAAAACAACAAAATGAACATGTACACTGAATTTTCGAGCTAATACGTCCCACACAGCCTAATCTGCACTGCAAATTGTAAGGCAGCCCCATGATCTGACAAAATCCTATTCCGCCTCCAAATTCTTAGGCGTTTTGTTTTTCCGAGAGAGAGAGAGAGAGGTTGGCTGCGTCCAGCAAATGCAGACCATGAGATGTGACTTGTCTAATGCGTTTTGGATGTTGAAAAGTCGATCGTAAAGTTACCGCCGTTGATGATTCGTGAAACCTTGCATGTCAAATGACCGCCGTGCAAAGGTTGACTCCAGGGACTCCTATGTAAATGCGAGACCTAGCAAAAAACTCGATCGTGCTGAGAGAAGAGAAAACTTGTATGCTTGTAATTCTAGTTGTTGTTGTGAGGGTGACAATGATGATAATGACGATGGTCGTGAGAGACCGATCTTTTAAACCTGGATGATGTACCGAAGATGGTTTATTTGGAGCTACATATCGCCGCTCGCGGTTTGGTTTCGTATGATGATTGAATGATGCTTGGTAGCTGTATTGGTTGAAAGTTTGAATTGGGGCCTGAATGAGTGCTCATACTTCGTCGAGAGGAGTGAACAGGTTCCTCATGTTGAGGGTGAGATCAGCGATTGCATAATCGTCAGCAATTTCGGTCATGGAACCAATCTCAATGCCCTTTTGCGCAGAATCCGAGGCGACGTACGGCCTGATTTGCTTCAAGAGATGGAAGACGTGTCTGCATCGCACATCTGCAGACGTCGCCCAGTCCTCAGGGCGTGATTGTCGAAGGAATGCCTGTGCCAAAAAGTAAAAGTGAATGCCATCTCGGCAGAATCCACGTCGGCGCTGGCGATGAGTGAATTGGATGGCTAGATCCTTGTCCCAGCACGTTTTCCATAGATTCAGAGCACCAACAGTGGAGCGAAGCTGATTCTGCACTTGCTCATTGACTCCATTGACTGGTGCCGCTGCATTACCGCTTTGAGATTGAGGTGTGCTCGCACCGCTCGAAGACATTCGTTGGATTAGTTGGCGCTGGATGTCGTAGATCTGGGTATGGATAGCATGGATGAGGATGAATTTGCCAAAGACATTGGTAGCCCGCTCAGGAAACTTTCCTGGACAGGTCCCGTTGAGTACGCTCAAAGCCTCGGACAAGGCCAGTTGCTTCGCACGCCTGCTACCGGACTCATTGAATGCCTGTGCCGCCTGTCCTCGTAGACCCAGGGCGCTAGCGCAGTCTTCCGATGTCTTCGCCTCCCAGGCTACATCGTCAGCAGGCAAAGGAACCGTGATACTCTTAGGGTCGAATCTCGGCTGAGAATTGAAGAATATTGTAGCAGAAGCGTCGATCAAGTAGATGTATGCTGTTAATCTAGCCCGCTTCTCATTCTCAATCCAGAGACTCCAACTCCAAGAGTCAACCTCCTCGCCAGTTACCGGTCCTGGTTGATGCAACGCGCTTGCATTCAAGTTGTCAGGCGGAAGCGGATGGAAGAGTGCAGCACATCGCGTGACGTTAGCCACAGCCCGGACTTCGTCTCGCGCTTGTTGACGTTGCTGCTGCGAACCGTGCCATAGGAACTGAGAGTGGAGTAGGACCAGGGCTTGTATCTCCTCGGTCGTGGACGTCAGCTGGTTATCAAGGTCCGCCATTTGATGTGCTTGCGCCAGCTCGTAAACTTGACTGGATCGCAAGACAATCTCCCGGACGCGCTCCATAAACCAACGGACATCTGACGGACTCATCTTGTCCGAGTACACGGCACCAATACAACACATGGTCAACACTAGCCCAGGCCAGGCAGTGAAGGGATCAAATGTTGGAACGTGTATCAAAGGAAAATGCGCTTGATAGTGCCTGTATTCGTGTAGGAACTCCTTGACGTTGTCTCCAGTCAATATTGTTTGCAGTCTTTCGTGGGTGTACGCCTCGGTTGAGTGTTGATTTGAGAGTAGAGATGCATTCGGGGAGCAAAAATTCACAAGCGAAGTAGCCAGATTGTGCACTGGATCAGACGTGGTATGGCCAATGAACCAACCATCGAGTGTTGGAGAAGAGTCGACCAACCCGGGAACGTGCGAGTAAAATCCAAATAAACTTTCATTCGGTGTATCATCTGAGGTCTAAAAGTTCCGGTCAGAACTGGGCCTGTTTTTGAAAGGTTGGGCCACCTGCCGTACTGGAATTATTCATATCGCCGTTGAACGATCCATTTCGCCATAGCGACCCATCCTGGCCATTGGTGATGCCATCAACGTTTGGCAGGGTAGAGACTCCGTATGACGCTGGGTCGGTGCCCTCGCTCTTGACGGTCATGCCGTTTTGGGCCATTGATCCATTTGTAGAGGCCTGCTCATAGCTGTAGTGGCCGTTGGGATCGGAACCGTTAGTCGGAGGCTGTTGCTGCTGCTGCTGTTGTTGTGCCTGTTGCTGCTGAGCCTGTTGCTGTTGCTGCTGCTGAGCCTGCTGCTGCTGTTGCTGTGGTGGATAACCGTTGGGGACTCCATCCGGGCGATAATCATTGAAGTTCATCCGGGCATTGGCAAAGTCCATAGCAGACATGCTCCGACGGTGGGCACTGTCCTCAACGCCGCTGCTGGGGCGCATCAAGCTGTTTGAGCGCGAAGTACGCGCCGACATGGACTGGTGGTTGGCAAGCGAAGGCAGGTTGTCACCAAAGCCATTACCGGCCATGGCAGGCATCTGCGGCAGACCCATGGAGTAGCCGCCAGCATCGGCGTATGACATGGCATTAGGGCCGATGTGGTTAAGGTAAGAGTTCTGGTCCGCACCAGTGGGCTGTCTGTTCTTCTGCAGGTGTTGCTGCGCGTGCTGCAGATGGTTCGCGCCAGTCGGGTTTCCCCTTCGTATAGAGCATTTCTGGAAGTGACGCTTCAGGATATCGCTTCTGCTAAACGTATCCTTGCACAGATGGCACTGGTAGGGTCGTTCACCCGTGTCTGAGCATGTAACATTAGCACCTGGTTGTGGTTAGATGTTGAGCAAAACTTACGTCGCAGCAAATGGCGCTTGAGATGTTTCAAGTGCAGGTATGTCTTGTTGCAATGCGGGCACTCGTACTTGCCCTCTGCGTTCTTTGTCGCGGTAGTAGGTGTCTTGCCAGCAGCTGGCGCGGGCCGTCCAGGATGGGTCGGCAAAACGCCGCGTCGGCCTTGCTGACCGACGACGTGGACGGGCTCGGGCTCCTGGTTGGGAAGCACAGGTGGATGGGCGTACATGGACGTGTGTCCCAAGCCCATACCGGGCGAGGGGCCCAGCTGGTGGCCGTTGGTGTGTGCGGACGCGGTGGACAACATGGGCGCCTGCGAGTAGGCCGAGCTCATGGGCAAGTACGACGTTGGCGTAGGCTGGAGGGGTCGCAGCGGCGGGTGCTGCAGAGGCGGCATGGTAGATGTGCCATTGGGCGCAGACGTCACAGGCGTATGCGGCGGCTGGGGCGTGTGAGGGTTGCTGTTATGGCCATACATGGGCGGCGCATACTGGCTGCCACCGCTCTGCAGAGGGGGCAGTGTAGGCAGCTGGTTCTGAGAGCCATTAAACTGCTGGCCTATTGACGGGTAGTTGCCTAGGCCAGACTGGCGGAAGCGGTCTGTACTGTCCATAATGTAGTACACAACACAGCTCCTATGGGCGGGTCAAGGTTGGTGAAGGGATGGGGGGAAAAGGCGCAACCAATTGTGGTTCGTTACGGGACCATTCGACGGAGCTCAGAAGCGGAGTAACGTGTGCAACGGCTGGGTATGCACACCAAGGAGGGCCGTTGGGCTAACGTCGCAAGGTAAGGAAGGATGGCCCACGAAGAAGCTTTGTAGGGTGGAGCCTGTGTGGGGGATTGCGATGAACAGTCGATTCGCGTCCGTCGGCGGGTACCTTTTGACGGGAGAAGTGGAATTTGGAGTGGTGTCCACAGTGGGTGAATGGGACAAGAGTTGGGAGTGGAAAGGCGTGGCGACGGCGCAGAATTGAAAAAGGTGATGGGTCGGTGACGATGGACTTTCCTGCGCTGCACTAGTAAAAAGCGCTGCGATGGTTTGGCTGGCTGGCGCGGTAATTGACGCGAAGGGACAAGGAAGCTGCTGCAGATCGGAGGCCCACACACACTTCAGCCTCAGCCGACTGATTGCGGATAGCCCAAGTGGAGAGGGCGAGGCACGAGGCAGGGACGGAAGACCCACGACAGGAATGAAGGCTGTTGGGGGAGGCTTGGGGGTGGGCGAGGGGGGGCGAGGGGGAAGGTAAAGGGTAGCTCGGGGTACAGGTACCAGTCGGCGAAAAAAAATATGCACAGGATGGTGCTATAGTCGAGCGTCGGCTTTCCGCACCAAGCACTTCCTGTTTGCGCACACGCGTGCTGCTGAATGCCGGAGCTTGGCCGACGGCTGGTCGTAGCGGGCGCAAGATTTGCACAGGGCAGCGATGGGGGTGTAGTAGTGAGTAGGAGTAGTGTAGCAGGAGTCGGTCGGGTAGTGGCAGTGGCAGTTTAGTTTGCAGCGGTGGCAGCAGCGGCAGCGTGTAGTCGTGTAATGTGTTGTGGAGGAGCAAAAAAAAGATGAATAATGGACGGGGAACAGGCAGAGAGGCCGGGACCCGCAGGAGATGGGAGCAAAAAGTGATAGTATGGATGTGGGAGTGGGTGTGGACGTGGATGCGGACCAGGTGGTGTGGCGGCAAGCGCGCCGGGATGGGATGGCGTGCGGAGGGTAGTGGGAGGAGGTAGGAGAGAGACAATGCACTCAGGCCCCAAAGAAGCGCCGAAAGGACAGTGGCAGCGGCACACGTGATTGGATTGGGGATGACTATTCATGTACGTTATATTCGCACCGTGTGTCTGCATTTGCATTGGAGCGCGTATGCGTTGCCCGTTGTCCGCTGCAAGAAAGGCCATTACCAATGACGACAGCTGTTCGTGTGCTAACGGAGCAGGCCCCCAATTGCGCTGCCCATGCACGCAGGCCTTTTGCAGCCAGGCCAGCGCGCTGGCGGTGCCCTTGAATCGTGCCCACCGACCACGTCTCCTATCGTCCTCTGCCGCCGTATCAACCCGCCGCCGCCGTGCTGTCCATGTCCATGTCGACGGCCGCGCTGCCTAGGGGTTTCATCCACTCCGCCGCTGCTGCGCTGCAATCGATAAGAACAAGAGCCGCACAAACCTGGCCGTCGACGCACACGGCCCAGCGGCCAGGGCCGAACTGCAACAATTTCCCATGTCTGGCTACATTTTTTTTTCTTCTGCCCACGGGACGACGGCCAAGGGGCAGCCACCCATGGAAACGGTCGCGCGCGCGAGCATGCACACTATTACTATTACTGTACTATACCACCAGCTCAGCAACCCGTCGGCGCACGCCTTAGTTGCAGCAACTGGTCAGAGTCAGAGCCATCGGATCGGTACTCTAGAGCAGCGAGGCGCGAGAGCAAGCAACTCATCCGAGCAGCGAGCATCCATCCGACAAAGGCCGAGCTTTGCTGTCGCATTGGCGGCTGTGGCTTTGCTAGGGTCCTTTCCCTTATATCCGACCATGAAACCGACGGCGTCCGGCGAACACAGACAACAGACGCTCGCGGTTCGACTGCACGGGGCGCCCGCGACATAACTCGAGTTGCAGATGCTCAAAGTCCGAAACATGTGCGAATCCTGTGCTATCAGACAGGTCAGATGGATGGGAAGATAGGCAGACGGACAAGATGGCCGACCGGCACCATCTGGCGTGGCAGCCGTGGCTGTTGGTCGCCGCCGAGGCTGGGATGAGGAAAAGTCTGGTGAGGGTGACGTAGGTTTATCCCAGACGGGACTAGCGCGTAGGCAGGGGGACCCTTGGCCTGAGATTGCAGCCAGCAACTGCAACGGCGTCCGCTAAATCTTCGGCTCGTCAATCGCTCGGCCTGCGCTCCTGCAATGTACTCGAATGTGCCATGTGCGTACATATCAGGTGTGTGTACGTACACTACGTGCATATGACTAAGTCTGTACATAGATGCTCTCGCTCTCCATGCCTACACTAGGATACGGTCACGCCTTCGGCCTTGAAACACGTCTTCTCGAAGCCTGGGCACCTCGACGCGAGCATGCCCGCGGCGCACTGTTGTCAAATCGAAACGGCGCATGCGGCACGACGGCGGCGGCCAACAATGCAAGGCGCGACGTGGTTGTGCTGGCGGTGCTATACTACGCACAACGATACCATTACACACTCAGATACAGTCATGTCACGCCTGCCATGGCCGCAACGGCGACGATTGCTCAAAAGGTCGGCCACTTAGCGTACAGATGACGGCTAGTGTCGTCTGATCACGATGCCGCGGCTGACTCGAGTTGATACGGTGACAGGCAGCTATTCTGGTGGTCGGCATGTTCTTACAGCGAGCACTAGGTCGAGGTAGCATCGGGGAAGTGCCGGGATTGCCTCGACGGCTATACTTGCTTGCTTGTCTGCCGCTTTTCTTGTTTCTGCACAGAGCGTACATAACCCTCCATGTTCTGCTGCACATACATACACTACTTGCCCACACGCACACGTGTTTAGTAAGTCGACCTAGCCAGCGCTGCTGTCCCAGTCCCAATCCCAGCCAGCGGCTCGGCCGTGCACAAACAAGGGCCCTGCCGTGGTTCTCGCTTGCGGCCTGCCGATACTTTACGTTACATGCTTGGCAGGATACAAGGCGGCGCGCTTTTTCTGCGGAACAAAACGCCGAGGCGCTCGCTGCAACGCCTCGACAGCATGCTGGCCGTCAAATTTTCTCCGGCTGCACGGCATGCATGCCCTGCTGTCACTGCTAAGAGGGAACCGGAACGAGCAGATGCGACGAGGGTTACTGCTTTGGAGCTGCCACCGTGCATATTTTTTCTAGTCGCTAGCTGCTGGCTGTTGGCTGCAGCGGCGCTCTAGGGAACCCCACGTGTTGTTCCATCATCAAGCCATGCCATGGCAGCGGCACGCCCGACACACACCACCCTCGTTGCGAACCCGACACCGTGCTCGCCGCTGGAAATTACGCATCGTGCCCAGCCTAATCCCCGAAACCACTAGGCCGTCTCAGGCAGTTTTCTCTCCCAGCAAGAGTACGCGTCGTCGCCTTCAAGGTTCAAGGGGGGGGCGCTGTCCACGATGCTGGGACTGCTGGGACGTGAGCAGTCAGCGCGCGAAGTTGGAATAAGCTCCAGTCCCACTTGCGGTTACGCTCCCGGATCTGGGAGTGTGGATGATACCCGGAGCTGGGTGGGCGTGGGCGTCAAAGTGGGCTTCTCTGCCCGCCTGTGTCTCCAGCTGCCGTCACCCTGCCAGCCCGCCAAGGCCTACCGGCACACAAGCGCCATGTCGTGCAGCACTGCAGCAGCCTCTGACCCGCTCGCCGTGAGTGCGAGTGTGTCGTGGCGCCTGTCCGCCGCCATCCCATGTCCGCCCCTCTGTCCTCCTCCCCCCCCCCCC